TCGTTTGACTGTCAGGGTGGTTTGGAAGAATTGTGTAAAGACATGAAATGCGAAAACCCACCTTTGGCAATTTTCGAGGACACTTACGATTCTGACGTCAATTTTGAGTCGGAGGAATGGATGGATGATTTGATTTACAAAGATAAGAAACTACAAAAGCATGAGAAAGCTAAATTCAGCGAGGATAGTTCAGCAACTTCCACTCCTATGAAGGAAATGGTGGATCAATGGCCCAAAAATAATGGAACCCATCAGGAGAAGAATACACGGTCTCGGCAGAAAACTATAACCAACGAAGCTATAAAAGTGATTAAGTTCTTCATAAATGAAATGGAACTCGAGACGGACACGACTAAGTGTAAAATATTGCAAGACGCTGTTGATTTCTGGATTGAGCATGATTTACCTGTACAAAGTATAGAGAATGTATTTTTGGAGCACCTGCCTTCGATTTTTTACCCACTTGGGTTATTATTATTCTAGTAAGTTTATTATGTACGATTTTATATAATACTATGTAAAGAGGGGTTGTTATGAACTTTAAACATTTTTGCAGCCAAGATATAATGGACAAGTATTTAGATATGAATAGGGATGACAAAGTGGTCAAAAATTACACCGCGATGAATTTGTTTTCTTTTAAATTCTGTATTCTAGTGTGTTCAATGTTACTGTATCATATCGGTCAAGGTGAATAATCTCAATTTTCAAAACATCGTACAATATGTAAAATATGCATTACATATTTACTAAATGTTTCACAGGTGAACCTACACCTGAATTGATTAAATTGTTATCTTCTGCAACTGCTGACCATTATGAGCCACCACTGACTGGATACCCAGGCTCAAGTGGGAATAATACTTCAAAACAAATGATGGAAGGTGTTATGAGCACTATGTCTTCTAACATTCATGAATCCAAATCATTTGTACATATTAAGGTAGATCATACATCATTGATATTCTATCAATATTTACCATTTGTTCCACTATTATAGCTATGGATGTTTGAAATTAGGATCCGGATGAAGTGTATCGATTTCTTGAGACTGAAGAAGACACAATAGTATTTACGTGTGGGCATCATTTTCCATTGACAACATATAAGACGGAAGTGCTTTCAACGATGGAAACCGAGTTATTGTCATCTGAATCGTTAATTGTACCCTCTACCGCTCTGTACCTAGGAAACATGTTATCTCAGACGAGTAAGCCGGAAATACTGTGTCCAACGTGTATACCACGAGCACTGGAAGCATTGGTGAAAAAGAATAACGGGTGAAAAGTATGTACCTGAGATTTTATTTTAACAAACAAAAAAAAAACAAACTATAATACAACTTTTTCTTAAGCTCTTAAAAGATTCTTAAAATTACTATACACAGGTAAAGTGATCTTTTAAATTAATTTTAAAGGACTAAACAACTGAGAACACTGAAACGTAGTTAGTTAGTACGAATCGAAAGTAACGAAACGTTTAAATCTACGACTACACTTGCCATTGCAATTAAAACATTGTATTCAACAAGTATCACAAAGTAATTTAATGAATTAAAGCTCTCTATAGCTTTGAAATCATATTTTTTAGATTATCTATACATATAGATAATTCTTCGTAGATACGAAAACTTACCGAATGCATCGAGGAATGCGTGAAACTATAGAGCACTAATTTTTTATTACTTAAGAACGTACCTCTTGTCAAATATCAAGATTATTTCATTACGCACATTGAAATTGAACATATTCATTGAAACTAGGTAATATGTGTTCAGAATATTTTTTTGTTAAAACGTACTGTAAACTGAAAATGGTACAACGTTGTGTATTGGCATCTTTTTAGGTATGTATGTTCAGATTCGCGAGTTCCACGAGATTAAAAGAAAATTGTAATAAAATGTATCGCTTTCAATTAGCACGCAACATATTAGAAATTTAGATGCAATTAGCACTATATTTTTTAAACAATTAATTACTCAAATACAACGATGCAACGTGAAAAATAACGAACTAAGAATTATTTCTCTTTTATACTTCCTTTTGGAGCAGCTTTATCATATATTATTAACTTTTACAAATCTTAAATTTGAAACCTTTTAAACTTTATTGTCAATTCTCTTTAAATAATGTAACGACATAATAGATATGCGTATTATATTAGTAAGAAAATGTTTATTTGTGTAAACTGAAATGTTCACAGTGAATGAGTATTTGCATTTCACTTGCAGTCTATATATATAGTTTTAAAGATTTTACTATTTCTCGTCGATCAATTGCTTCTTATATCAATTTTTGCATCTTATTACAATTTTAATGTTTAATTCAGCAAAAAGATCATGCTATTCCATCACAGTATGTAAACGGCTATAATGGAAGTATATTATTGATGTATGGAGTTTATTCATATATTTGTTAACCAAATGCTAGTTACTGTGAAGATACAATATACAATTGTACAGTAGCTCTATTAGTACTGTAAAATATTAAAAAAAAAAAGAGCAAAATTAAGGAAACGAACACAGCTTTCATCTGTGCAATTCTACGAAATTTGGTGCAAACTACTAAGGACTGATGAAAAATGTATTGATCTAGTCTTCAAAGTATATGCCAGAATATATTAGTCGATCTTAGCGATTGGGAGGAACATCTCATTAATGCAAATACATATATATTATATGATTCTTTGTGAACCTGTAACTGATGTTAATTAGACGATCAATGTGTGTTGGATAGAGTAGAAAAAGTAGGAGTGAATCTGTACATAGAAAGCACTGTTCACGAAGTGAGAGACGTTTGGTTACAAATGGAGCAGGCTCGTAGACATACTCCGTTCTCTTTTAATCGTAAAATTGCATGAAAGTGGAAAATCATAGAAGTATAGTATGTTTACGTATATCAGAGAGCTTCTCCATTATGGTTTCAGTGACCAATAGACAGCAAGGTTTTAGAAATTAATCAATGCAAATCATAAAATTAGGTGAATGAAGGTGAGAAAAGTGACGAAATTGAACAAAAAAAAAAAAAAAACGATATAGGATAGAAATACTTTTCGAGATGTAAATGATTTGCAAAGTGTCGCGAATTTTTTTGCTATTTTTAATATTCTTTGTAAATGAAAAAATTACGCACACCTTCATTTAACTCGTAAGAAACGTCTTTTTATTTCAAAATTACTATTGCGTATTTTATTATCTTGCCAAGTGTGATAAAAACCTATTGTAAGACTTATCTATTTTAAATAACGAAAATTGTTATTTTTCGTTTTTATAAAAAATGTGAAATTCTAAAGAAGGGAACAGCCGTTTAAGGAAGTGCAATATTTTAGTTAGAAGTCGTGTTGAATAACATCTAAACCCTTCTGTTGCAGTTTTTCCACACGTTTAAGACGCGTGGGATATTTTCTCCTATAAGTTATTCCTCGTAAATTACATAATATATTTTAAAGTATATAATATATACGTACATTGTATTCTCGACGTGTAAAACAGTCTTCTACAACTTATTTCCTGATACTTAACATATACGGGTACGATATGTTAAAAAGAGATATCCGATCTTATTGAAAATTTATTTAGATATTACCAAGCAGTCTCGACACCTTTCTTTCTCTAAGTTGTCTTAAATTCAGCATACTTGAAACCTTTTTTAAACCTTCACTTGTATATGTATACGACTGCAATAATCTTGTAACATATATCTGACTGTACAGTTTTCAATGTCTCATATATGAAGTCTTTCACCGATAGTACTTAGACTATTACAAATTTTGGGTCAATAAATACGATTAGCAAAACGATATATCGTGTTCTATTTGAATGAAATTAATCCACTTTATTTGTTAGCTATTTTTTCAGACCACAAATAATTTAAAACAATCATAAGAGATTCTTTACTTTTCAGAAGTTTTTATTCAAAAAATCATATCCAAAATACATCTTTTTTCTTCTTCTTTTTTTGTCACAATCAGTGAACCGTCCTATTCGACACTCATTTGCACACTGTTACGCTCACACACACGGTCCCTCATGGAAGAACTATTCCAAGCAGTCGTAAAACTACAGTCTGATGATGAGAACAATGAAAAAAGGAAAAGCAATTGTTTGGAGTAAAGCATCGAGAGAAGAATGTTTCAATGAACATGATGATAGTGTTTGACGTTCAAGTAGAAGTCGTCGTAATACTACGCGCATATTTCAACGTAAAAAAAGAACTAACAGTTAGAGAAGTTCAATTTGATCCTGATCTTTTCTGTACTTTAAACGATAATCCTCAAGTTTGGAACCTCTTTGAATAAACCTTGTTAAAAATCCTTTTTATCTCAAAACCGATTCGAAATCAAATCGACAGGATATCGAGGAATCAAAACGATTCGATCAAAGCTGCTCGACGTTACGAACGAGAACATCGAGTTCTTCGGTGATAGCTGCTGGCAAATCGCTGCCTACTTGCGCGTCGAAGTACTCCCTGAGATCCCTAACTTCTTTCTGCCAGAAATCTTTCGGCAATCTGAACAATTCCTCCATGTCTACGTTCCCCTTCATGCTGTCCAAGTTGAACGACTCCAATTTTGGTAGCAGACCGATGGGAGAGTTAACAGCGATGTCCTCGCCGTCGATTCTACGGAGGATCCAGTCGAGGACGCGAGAATTCTCGCCGAATCCTGGCCAAAGGAATTTACCATCTGAACCCTTCCTGAACCAGTTCACGTGGAATATAGCTGGCAGCTTGTTGTTCTTCACTTTGGTCATGCTGAGCCAATGGTCGAGGTAGTGGCCGAAGTTGTAGCCGAAGAAAGGTCTCATCGCGAATGGATCATGCATGATTACCTTGCCCTAATCGTTAAGCAGTGAGAACGTTCCTCAGTTTTCGAGAATAAATTTGACACGAAGTGAAGATATTTCGATGCAAAAGTGACTTAACCCTTTCGCTGCGGCAAATTTCCTTTTTTGGGCGTATCATTTTAAAGTTTGTTTTATCGAATCAACGTGGAAGAGTGCAGAGGAGAAAATTAAGGCTTAACATGGAAGTGCGCCAAAAGGCTCCAATAACACAATGCGAAGAAATTTTCAAGGCGCCGATAGCAGTGAAAGGGTTGATACAGTGGTCCATGTAAATATGAAATAATTAGTGATTCCAATGATTGAATGATTGGCTTAATCAAGGTTACCTGATGTTCTGCCGCAGCAGTAGCTTCAGACCTCATCGAAGCTCCAAGAAAGACACCGTGTTGCCAGTCTCTGGCTTGATAGATCAAGGGAACACCCTCTGGCCTTCTTCCTCCAAACAAGATGGCGTCTATGGGAACTCCAATTGGATCCTCCCAAGCAGGATCAATGATAGGACACTGCTTGGCTGGAGAACAGAATCTGGAGTTTGGATGTGCTGCTGGTGTCTTGGATCCTCTGTTCCACTTCTCGCCTCGCCAGTCAGTGATCTGTATAAATGTCCACTTGTTAGTGAATGTAACGAACAACCTCCAGAAGACACTTCTATTAAAAAATTCTTCATACTTCAACATTTTCACCGATCTCCTTCTCCAGCCCCTCCCAGAAAACTCCACCGTCATCGGTAGCAGCCACGTTGGTAAATATAGTGTCTTTGAAGATGGTCTTCATGGCGTTAGGGTTCGTACTGAAGCTGGTTCCCGGTGCCACACCGAAGAATCCATTTTCCGGGTTGATAGCTCGGAGTCTGCCTTCCTGGTCGAACCTCATCCAAGCAATGTCGTCTCCCACACACTCGATCTTGTAGCCTGGTAGAGTTGGCTGCATCATGGCCAAGTTGGTCTTCCCACAAGCGCTGGGAAACGCAGCGGCGATGTAGCGTTTTCTACCTTTTGGATTTGTAATACCCAGAATCTACAAAAGGTAACTGATACAGAATCTCTTAGACGATTGACAAGCTTGCTAGCGTTGAGTAACGATTGGAAATAATTCTTGAGAAAATGAAGGAAGTTGGAAGAGACGACGGTGAAGCGTTCGAGGCGAACGAAGAGGTAGAGAATATTGGAGAACGTGGAATCGTGATTTGTTACACAGTTTTACGTACAAGCATGTGCTCAGCGAGCCAGCCTTCGTCTCTGGCGATGGTCGAGCCGATTCTGAGAGCCAAGCATTTTTTACCAAGCAGAGAATTTCCACCGTAACCGCTTCCATAGGAGACAATCTCGTTTTTGGCTGGTTTATGGAGGATGATTGTCCTCTCTGGATCACAGGGCCAGGAAAAGTTAACGCCGACCTTGGAGTCAGATTTTGGGAGGCCAACAGAGTGCAGACATTTGACGAAATAGTCGTTGCCGAGGGTTTCCAGCACTTTCTTTCCCATCCTGGTCATTATTCTCATAGAACAGACTACGTAGGCTGAGTCTGTGATCTCTATTCCAATCTTCGAGAGTGGAGAACCTACTGGACCCATGCTGAAGGGGATGACGTACATCGTTCGATCTGAATTACGGAAGTCGAGTTACTCGGGCTGTGGAGTTGATTAGAATTTTGACGATTTAAGGATCTGTTTTGGAAAGCGACCTTTCATGCATCCTGGAAAGCGTTCTAGGATTGCTTTGTCCATGTCAGACGGGGAAATCCAGTTACCCAATTCTCCGGTGACACCATCGCGAGGTGTTGGGATCGTATCGCGTTTAGAGTCGGTGCTGATAAACGTTTTCTTCTCCACGCGGGCCACGTCCGCTGGATTCGTTCTGGCGAGCCAGCTAAGTTCCGAAATATTCACTTATCAGAGTTTGACGAAATTTTGGTTTAATCTTGAGTTTGACAAAACTTTGGTTTAATCTTGAATTGGGCAAATTTTTAATTTAATCTAGAATTTTACAAAATTTCAATTCAGTCTATCATAGAATTGGACAAAATTTCAATTTAATCTAGAATTGGACAATATTTTTATTTAATCTTGAATTTGACTAAATTTTGCCAAAGTTTGAATTTAATCTAGAATTGGACAAAATCTGGCAATAGAGAAAACAATTTGAATATTCTAGCGACAAAAAACAGAGGTTTTCTCTTCTCATAATTTCCCCGTTGAAAATTTTTCAAACTTCATGCAGTCAATTACTTTAAAAATTTTCTGCACACCCTGTATCCACTGTTCGTCAACTCTGTCACCTATAAGGCAACTATTACACAATAGGAAGCTGATAGAAGGCCAAACAAACGCGGTGCTCGAAATAATCAGAAGGCCAGCTATTCGAAGAACTTTCTAAAAGCTCTAACAAGTTATATAAATCAAGACAGCTTCGTCGCATCAGCTGTTGTTTCAGATCACCTCAACCGAGACACACTCACCAGTTCTCATATTTCGGCAACGGTGAAATTGTTTCGTCCTTTTCCAAAAGCTTCAACAGGTGATTATACTCCGATTCACTTCCGTCGCAGATGTAGATATCCTTGGGACAGCAAAGCGATGCGCATTCCTCGATGTAAGAACGAAGTTTCGGTGCAACAGGTCCTACGGACGTGTTCAGTAAAGGTGTTTTTCCTATGTACTCGTAGTTGTTGCTGATAGACGGATTTTTCGCCACGTTCGTGACCAATGTGGACACTCTGGAGATAGAAATTCAAACACTTTTTTCCAATCTACGCTTCAGGAAAAATTCAATTCTTCCAAATACCTTCAGGGATGCGAATTGCACATGAACAATGTTAATAATGATTAATGGGACGATGAGAACACTTCGGAGATAGAAATTGAGACACTTTCTCTCACTTTGCACTTTTAAAAAAATCAATTCTTGCAAATATCTTTAAAGATGCAAATTGCACATGAATAATATTAAAAGAAAATTAATAGCATACATATTAACAAAAATAATACTGTGTGGCATAAATTAATGTTTGAAACGTAACTAAAAAATTGTGCAAAAGTACTTTTATCACTTTCTTTATCAAATTTTTTCATATTCCACTCCAATGTTAAAATTCTTATTTTTCCCTTTCTTTTTTTTTTTTTTTAATTTCATTCTACTTGTCGCAAAATTTATCTTCCTCATTCGAACATAGAATATTTCATTCCCAAGGAATGAAACTCTGATCACAGGCATTGGATCGAAGTAACATGTGGTTCTGCAAAGTGTCTGTTAACAGTATATCTATCGATTGGCTCTCGCTCAATCGTTCTAGAAACCTTGTTCGGTGGAAAAATGAATTTTCACGTGGCTAGTCCACGAAGTAACAGTCTGCCTCTCTGGTTCACCGTGTCAGCAACATTACCGCATTCACTTTTCATTGATGATGTCGAAAATGATCTCGCAACTTTCATACACCTGCATGTATTCGATGTATTACCAAGAAAATGCAACGGCTACTTTTACCGGCAAACCTGTCGCTATTATTTAAAAAAATGTTCACGCTTCGACGGACTTAGTGTGAAGTACAGGGTGTTTTGAAAAAGTCTCAGCACTTGTATGGAAGTAGATTTTTAGAGAAACAGAAGTTTGTCTTGGGAGAGTCTCCAGTTGTTCGCCATAATTGTCAAAAGATTCTTGAAATCTTTCCTTTTGCAAAAACAACGAACAAAATTTCCCACGTAGGTGTTGAAATATTTTTCAATAAATTTTAGGTTGTAGAATATCGTACAGCGCGACAGTTTTAGCATTGAATAATTTTGTATGAAAATGATTTAACTGTTGCACAGTGTCAGTTTAGCAGAAGATTGAAAATAAATGTTTTTCTATATTTTTGTGGAAAATGATTTAAAAAAAGAGTACAGAAACTTCTTTGATGGTTCCAGTGCTAAAGAACAAGAGTAGAAAAATGATTGGAGGATTGTAGATGGAAGATTGTTGCAAACAATTTTTATCAAAGAAATCTTCTTTTCAAATTTAATAAAAAATAAAATTTAGATTTTCTTTTAACAAAGAAATTACCATTGCTGACCAACGAAGCATGCAAATTGCACAACGAAGATTCTGTTGCATTCGATATTACGTTAACATTATGCAACTGCAGTGAAATAGAGTTAATCAAATTCTTCTAACACGATGCCCCGCATCTAGTTTCTGTTGTTTAAACATGTTCATACGATAATTGTATTACGTTTCCTTGTGTGCAACTTGAATCACTCTCGATCGAACAGCCATAAGAGGAAAACGATTTCAGAATCTTGCGTAACGCGTTGAAATTAATTCACGCACTATGATCGAGGGAACTCGAAACACGTATCATAATTTTGCATGGGTATGAAGCGATGTCAGCGTGGTGCCCAGGCTATTTATGATATTACGTGGAATGATATTGATTTTATGATAAGAGGGTAACGTGAATTTGACTACTGTGCGCATTTTTCTCTTTCCGTTCTTCAAACTGTCGATTCTTATTCAATAAAGACAAAAATTGCAAAAAAGCCACCCTTGAGGATAAAATAATTCTCCAACTGTCACACTGGCGCTTTTAAAAAGACTTCAAACTTTCTCGGAAAATAGAAAAAAAAGAATTTCATTTCAGTTGTATCTAACGACTTCAATCTTAAAATTTCAAAGGATTTCTCAAACCTTCGTTAACAATTCCATTCAAATCTGAAATTTTCCACCGAAAAAATTCACGGCACCAACGAAGACTGTGTATCTGGTAAAACTGCCCCAAAAGCAAAACACAGTTTCACAGTTTTATTCAGTGATAAAAAGTATTTTTCATTTGAACGAGATTTGAAGATTTGACAAATTTTCATCTCTACCCAAAGAATAGAAAAGAAAGCTTCGAAACTCTATTTTGCCTTTCGGGACAGGTTTCACACATGCCAGCCAGTATTCGTCCGACGTTCAACTTACTGCGGGTAATAGGCGTCGATAGCGTGCGGCATCTCGTTGATACTTGGCTTGCTCAAAATCGCAAACCTCCTAACACCAGGTACATTTGTCGAATCGACACGTCTCGAAGTATGAAGATTCCTCAAACTACCGACGGAAGATCCTCTAACGGAAGTGGCTACCACGGAGAATCTTCTCGCGAGTCGAAAGCCGGTAGTAACGAGGCTCGACCAACGGATCGGATCGAATCTTGCCGACATCTCCGGTTCTGTTCGCTTTTATACGATCACCAAGGGATTCCGATCGAACCCTAACAATTCTTCCCGCGGATTGGCCGCGAACACTTCCGGTCAGTGTGGTGGGAGATTGAAGAATCGTGGACGGAATCGTTCGCGGACTTCGGATCAGTTATCGACGCGGTTCTTGGCCTTGTCGATCGTAGGTCTTTCCAGCTTTCGATCCAAGTACGATGCAAATCAACGACTCGTTTGCATTGAACCAGAATCTATCGACGGAATAATTTTCTATAACGATCCAAACAGCAGAATTCACGTCGCGATTCTTCTATCCGTCCACGACTGGCGGACAACGTGGTGATTTAACTGCTAAAGATGACCAAACTGGCAGACGTTGGGGAACACAGATTGACGATCGATCTCGAGCGGGGAATACAGGGAGTTTCGGTAGAGAAGAGCTGGTGGATAGGACGAGCAGCGTGGCGTGAATTTGTCGCGTCTAAGCACAGTGATAGAGGTCGACGACGTGGAAGAGACACAGACGGGATGGAAAGATGAGAGACGACGAGAGAGAGGCGCACACTGTCGTTTAGAAGGTTTCGAGGGAACTGTCGGCGGGCAATCGGTTGGGAGTAAAAGCGATCGCGGTACACGATTAATCGGCCCACGCTCGCATTAAAATCGGTCGCGGTCGTTTTATACTGAAACCGTTGCCCGCCACTTGCTCTTCTATTTTTGCGCGAACACTTTCGCTTTCCGACTATCTAGCGCAGCACGCGACGCCACGTTACCGCGGGCGTAATTATCTGAGCGGACCGGTGCACACGCGGACGGATTATCGCGTTCCGCGCCGCCGGAGAAATATCGGTTCTCGGTGAATTTTTTCGGAGAGCGTGATTTGTCGCAGCGAGAGCTAGTAAAATTGGAGAAAAAGAAAGTCATTTTGTTTTTTGTATGGAATTTGATGGAATATGGAATTTAGGAAGGAAGGTCGGTTTCGGGAGAATTTTTTAGGCGATCGTTGGGAGAGCATGATTTGCTGTGGCGAGAACGATGCTGCCGATTTATCGGTGAATTAGTAAAATTGGGAAAGAGGAAAGTAATTCTGGGTTTTCGTATGGAATGTAATGGAATATGAATGAAATTGAAAAAAGAAGTAATTCTGGGTTTTCGTATGGAATTTAATGGAATATGAATGAAATTGGGAAAAAGGAAAGTAATTCTGGGTTTTCGTATGGAATTTAATGGAACATGAATGAAATTGGGAGAAAAGAAAGTAATTCTGGGTTTTCGTATGGAATGTAATGGAATATGAATGAAATTGGAAAAAAAGTAATTCTGGGTTTTCGTATGGAATTTAATGGAATATGAATGAAATTGGGAAAAAGGAAAGTAATTCTGGGTTTTCGTATGGAAATATGAATGAAATTGGGAAAAAGGAAAGTAATTCTGGGTTTTCGTATGGAATTTAATGGAATATGAATAAAATTGAGAAAAAAAGTAATTCTGGGTTTTCGTATGGAATTTAATGGAATATGAATGAAATTTGAAAAAAGGAAAGTAATTCCGGGTTTTCGTATGGAATTTATGAAGGAAGATCAGTTTCGAGAGAATTTTCAGATGATCGTTGGGAGAGCATGATTTGTTGCAGGGAGAACGATGTTGTCGATCTATTGATAAATTAATAAAATTAGAGAAAAAGAAAATAGTTGTATTTTCTTTAAATGTGATTTAATGGAACATGAAATTTATGAAGGAATTGCAAAGGAATTTTAGGTAAAATAGTAAAACAGACGGAAAATCGCGTGGTACCATAACGAGAAGACCACTATTAGAAGATTGAGACAAAATTAGAATTCACCTTAAAATATTTATTTACAGAACGATATTTCCAAGTAAAGAACCTATTCCATATCGAATTTTGGCGGGAATTTGAAACGAAATTAAAAAGTCACAATAAAATATCTAATTACAGAAAAATGTTAATTGTTTTCAAACTCTTCGGCGTATTTACTCGAGCTTTGACCTCAAAAATCCTCTTTTCCGCCTAATGGAAATTTCACTTTCATAAAATAGCAACGTGTTAAGTAGCTACCATTTCGAGAAATGACAATCATCGAGTAAACGTTCATTTGTTTACCTGATTGTTAAGTAGGTAGACGATTTTTGACGAGAGATAGAGGGGGAGAGAAAGTTGATCCTTGATCGATGGATTATCCGCGATTATCGAGAAGATCGTTGACTTTGGTCTGCGCGTAAAAGCAGATTTGTGAATGGTGAATTATCTTGGAAATGTTTCGAGGTGATATATTCGATAAGAAAATTTAGGGAATTTCTCCAGAAAATTAGGACTTTGAAGTATCATTAAACGAAAGTCTATCGGCCTGAATGAATTGCAATTTTTAAATGAAACGTAAATTTCCTTTTTATTACTTTTTCGAGTATTGACAAAATTAATTATTTTCCAATTTAAGAAAGTACAAAACTTCATATTGCTAAATGAAAAATTGATCGTTTCTGAATTAACAAATACACAACTTCATATTACCATGTGTTGAAGTACGAAGAAAAATGGACGAGCTAACACATCTTCTGTGTTGCAAGGAAGAATAATATAGAACGATCGCTTCGCTCGACGATCGATTTGAATCCCGCTAGATCCAAGCACAGCCGGTTCGTCCAATAAACAATTAGACCGCTGGCAAATTAAAGCTGGTCGATGCGAATTGCGATAGCTAATCGACGAGGCACTAGTACAAAGTATAAGTATCGCAATACTTCCAGAATCTCCGTCCCAAATGAATCAATTCTGTCGAGATAACGGGAGGAAAAAATTTCTTCTGGAACTTCCGATTATTCAATGTACAATCGAACGTGTACAATTTTTTCTCAATAATTATCTCTAGAATATCGAACGTTAATCATTAAAATGTTACATCGATGTTGTAACAATTGAAATTACGTCACAGCACGTAAAATGGACGAAAAATTTGCAGAGATTTCTCTCGGGAATATTAATAGTATTATTTGCACGCTAACGTCCTTCAATCGTTATCGGCGAGATGATTAACATTTTTGTTAGTTACAAGAATGACTAAGATGCGAGAGTTCAAATTGAAAGTCTACCAGCAACGAATCGACAAACGGAAAATACTGCGGAAACGTCGTCGTAGAGAGAGTAAACAAAATGTTGGCACGTTTCTTTTTTTTTTTTTTCCACCAAGCCATTTCGATAGATCCGCCGTTTCGTCGTGTTTTATCGCGTGAAATGTGGGATTCGCGAATTATCGCGACCAGACAGTGAACTACGGACCAGGCCCCAGCTAGCAGAGATGCATTCGCCTCGTAATGGGATCGAAAAATGAACGGGAGGGCTGGAACAGCTGAGTTTGATTAATTTACGAGCGAGATTGCAATCATCCGATTAACTTTTTTTTTATCTACGTACCTAATGTCGCGATTACATTTATCCTAGATCCGGAAATTTTCATCTCGTAGTTATTTCAGCGAATGTACAAGGTAAACCTTGGATTTTGCAGGAAAAATCAGTTAAGTCCTTCGACGATTGAAATGATGAAAAGTAACTTTATTCGGTACCTACGAAGATCCTTCATTTCTTATGTCCACTATAAAGAAGAGAGGCGTGCTTTATCGGTACACCCGTGAAATTAGAAATGAATTAAATGGAAAAAATAAATTTCGTTTATGAATATAACTCTCACAGGAAGGATGATTATCTGCTGATGATTATCTCATGTTCTAGTAATTGTTACAGTCCGAAGAATGTAAGCATGCAGTGGCAATGTAGAAACGATCGAGGAAGTATGAAATAATATCGATCGGGCTTGGCTCGTCGAACGATCCCAGAGGTGTATTCGCGGTGAAACAAGACGCGACGTCGAGGCGATATTACTCAGAGAAAGGAAATGTGTTCACGCGTTGCACTTTGATCTAAAGCTGTCCAGAGCGCGCAATTCATACAACGTTATTGTTTACCAAGATTTCTCCAACAACTTCGAACTTTGTTTCGATTCTACGGGTGTCTTTTAATCGTGTCGTCGTGATTAATTTTAACGGGTTGGATAACGATGACACGGTGTTCTGAACTGGCTTACGACAAATTTCTTGTTAATTATAATTATGACCTGTTTTCCCTGTCGATAATAAGTCAACCTCGAACAGACTAACGTTGAGTTTTTTTGTTAACGTAACGATGTCACAAGTACAGTTGCTATCACATGTTTTTTTCAATTAATTAAATCTAAAGAAACGGGAGTTGAGTTTATCGTGTTGAGTCAGGATTGTGTTGGGTCAATGTTAAGTCAAAGTTGTCTCAAGTTGTCTCGAGAATTAATCGAGTTAGGGTTGAGTTAATTGGGTTGAATTCAGTTTATTTAAATCAAGTCAAATCGAAATAAGTTGAGTCAGGTTCAATTCAAGTTGAGTTAATTGAGTTAAATTCAGTCGAATTGAATTCAGTTTATTTAAATCAAGTCAAATCCAACTAAGTTGAGTCAAGTTCTATTCAAGTTGAGTTAATCGAGTCAGAGTTGAGTTAATTGAGTTAAATTCAGTCGAGCTGAATTCAGTTTACTTAAATCAAGTGAAATCGAAATAAGTCGAGTCAAGTTCAATTCCAGATGAGTTAATCGAGTCAGAGTTGAGTTAATTGAGTTAAATTCAGTCGAGCTGAATTCAGTTTATTTAAATCAAGTGAAATCGAAATAAGTCGAGTCAAGTGCAATTCAAGTTGAGTTGATTAAGTTAGGGTTGAGTTAATTGAGTTAAAGTGAGTTAAGTCGAATTGAGTTTACTTGAATCAAGTCAAACGAAAGCAAATTGAGTCAAGTTCAATTAACTCAAGCCAACTCTAATTAAGTCAGACGAACCAAACTCAAGTCCATCGAATTCTTCGACATTTTTCCACTTCTGTTTTAATCTTGTTGACTGAAAATGTCGCTAAAATACTTCGTAATTCTACTACAACCACTGATTTCACTAGTGTCTCTTTTCAAGGTAACGTTCCTCGAGTTTATCAGCTCCGCAGATTTTTCTTCACCCCGTCCGGTTAATTAACGATTAATTTATTAGACTCCGCGGGTCTGAGCGAGACAGACGACGGAATATAACACGAAGAGTCTCGCGTAACCACCGGGAACGATAAAAGGATCATGACCGAACGCTTTTTCAGCTGAAACAAAGATAATGCTTTTGTATTTCAGCCGCTCGTGGCTAGTTTTTTCTTCGTGGAAAATTATTTTCCCTTATCGACCGAGGCGCAATTAAACGTCCACAGGTGCGATCGTATACGTCTGATAAACGAACCTTTCTAATTCTCACACCAATTTCACCGACAACATTTGACATCGCTCGTTACTGGACTCCGCAAAGTGTCGCATAAATCAGAGCAAATTACTTTTCTCTGTCGGTATAAACGTTTTATGCCGAAGATAAACGAAAGAAAAATTGATATTTCTTAGAACGCGAGGAAACAATATCGCAACGTCGAAGCAAATCTCTAACTGTTCTCTCTGGTTAGTTGCCAATGTTTACCCCTTTATCTTGCAGATATACAAACGGTAAACAGAAACAAAAACAGTAACAGCGAATGACCAAGAGATCTTTTCTCTCTCTCTCTCTCTCTTCTAATTAATCTCCCACTTCTCGGGAAAAAAATTTGTTGACAACGATCGTGAATTTGAACTGTGCTACGGTGATTAGTATATCTACCTGACCCGTGCACTAGCCAGGCTTAGAGATTGAAACTCGTGGACCTTGTCGTGTCAAGCGATCGTGTCAATTGATTCGAATTAATCGGTCGATGATGAAAAAATAGAGCGCAATTGCGTTTGGTAATATTGCGCGTATCATCGGACACAAGTTCAGCCCCTTATCATTTGCATCATCAGCGGTTTTGCAAACGCATATAGAGATTCGTTTCTTTGAAATTCTGCAGATCGCATCAAGCCTTTCAAGCATTCCTTCCAATTTAACGTTGTTTCTATTTTTTTTTTTCTTTTTCTATCTAGAAACGTTTCTCAATTTATGGACACACTGTAGATTTACAATTTGGCCGACTGATATTAATATTTATGAATTATTTATGACATTTCCATTTTACCTTTTCCTTTCCATTTCGCAAATAATTTCATACAGATTTACAATTCGCACTATGAATGTTAATTAATGTAATTTCACACAGTGTATGTATATTCGTAAATAAATAATTAATT